TATGCTCCACCGGCAAAACACCCCTTGTTTTCATCGATCAAGGGGTCAAAATCAATCAAGAAGTGTACCGCCGGGACATTTTGGAAGCCGTTGTGCTTCCTTGGGCCCAGCAGCACTTCGCTGATACGGAGTGGCTGTTTCAACAGGATTCAGCGCCAGCCCATAGAGCCAAATTGACTCAGGACTGGTGCAAAGCCAATTTTCCGGACTTTATCACATCCAGTGAATGGCTACCTTACTCGCCAGATCTTAATCCGATGGACTACAGTGTGTGGTCTATTTTGGAGTCCAGGGCATGTGCTAAATGCCATATAAGTTTAGAGGCGCTGAAGAAATCCAAGAATGGGATCGATTGTCGGAAGAAGACCCGCGGCCCATTGAGCTAAATTTCCAGAAACGTTTAGGGCTCTGCATCGCAGCCCAAGGATGCCACTTCGAAACCGGCTGAAAATATGTTAACACAATACCTATTTAATAGTTGTGTATCTGCATTTTTTCTCAAATACAGTTTCTTAAAAAGTTATGATCAAAAATGTTTGTCCGGGTTATTTATTGTCACCCTGTATATCTGTCAATTTTAATTTTTTGTTGCGAGTCTGGCGGAAAGCTGCATTCCGTTGCATAAAACCACTAACCATACAACATATACTTGTAGACTACCCGTTTCATACAACGAAAATGGACACAAAAATTTCCATAGCGAAAGGCCCCCGAGGCTTCGTGTGCGCTCGGATTCGGGCTGTTAGCGGCGGGCCCCGTAGCTTCGTGTGCGCTAGGATTTTGCGCTCTCTCATTCTTATCCTCGCACACTGATTGCGAGAGTTCAGTCGCAGAGTGGCGCATCTTGAGAAGGTTGCTCTGCGCTTAAGGGGGTCTTCTCATTCAAAAGCCGTTTTTTGGACCCTTTTTAAAAAAATTCTTATTTGAAAACGCAAAGAATAATTGAAAACTTTTTTTTATTTATTGTATTCAAAAATGTTCAAAGTAACTAAAAAAGTTGTTCTTGCCTCGATACGAGGGTTGTTCAAAGAGTAATGAGACTTTAAACTTGGTGGTCGAAAAAAAGGTGTCGTCCTGGCGGCCACGATTCAGGGTTTCCAGAGCGTCCGAAATGAAAAATAAAAACGGGGTTATAATCAGAATAGATGTCATTTTCGGCTGACGGAACAGATTTTTTTTTAAATTTTTTTAAACAAAATGGCGGCCATTCAAAAAAAAAATTTCGATTTCGGGCTTTTTTTTTGTAGTTTAGTGTAAAAAAAAATAGAAAAAAAATTTAAAAAAAATCTGTTCCGTCAGCCGAAAATGGTGACAATTCTGCGTCGATTCCACTTTGTTTCATGAAAATCGGTTCAGTTGAACTGGAGATATCATGGCCGCCAGTTCGAAAAACGTGGTTTCGAGATAAACGCGTTTGAAGTTTGAAAAAAGCTCATTTTGCATAGATCTTGCTTCACAAAAAAGGCTGTATCTTCTAAAGTATTTCGAATTTCTAAAAATCCTTTTGGGGACATATACACACCATCCCAAGCTATAAATAAATGCAAAAAAAAAAAAATCGAAAAAAAAAAGTTGCCCAATGAGAAGACCCCCTTAAATTCTTCTTTATATGTATGCGTGTTCATGCATTCACGTACACGGGTGCATGTGTGCGATCATTTCATTTCTTCCCAGCAAGAATATTTGGTGTTTTGCTTCTTATCATACTAGGTACCCTAACAATATGGGCATATTCACTATTGAGTTAATGATAAAAATAAGAATGTTATGTTATAATATATTTCTTAATGTTTTAGCATATATTTCATATTTGTTTACAAATTCAAATCCAGCTTTTTTTTTTTTTTTTTTTTTTTGGCATAACATTAAACAAAATTTTATTAACGTTGATCAACCAACCTAATGGCTATAAAACGTTGGCTTCCCGTTTTGATAAGCCTGTGTCTGGGTCGGTTGTCTCATCCTGGAAATGGATGGGTCAATGTCCATCGGTTCCGGGGTATTTTCTTGCGGTACAGAATGTACCTGCGCCCTGTGCTGTTTGCTAAATTGCGGGTTTTTACCAGCACCGAACTGTTGGTTTGTGTGAGAAAAGGATTTTTCTTGTTGGCGATCTTGTGGCTTTGGGGTTTGCCTACGATCCCTATCCTCTTGGCTCTTTGCAAACGAAGTTGCGAATGTGTACCTCTCGTGGTTAGATTCCACTTCCTGGGCTAATGCCAACGCAGTTGGCATGTCTTTCGGCTTCGCCGAGAAAAGGACGTCGGAAAGACTGCGTTTGAGTCCCGAAATAAATACAGGGAGCGCGTCGTCCCGGAACTTTTCACATAAGATTCTTGCCGCCGACGCTTCGTACGACATCGTGGCTTTATTGGTAAGCAAGGTGAGCTTTTTCTCGACCTCGTCGTAGTATTGTAGGAGAGTGAGGCTTCCCTGTCTGAGGGTACCCATCTCCTGCTCGATAACGTGTATCTGGCGCTTGTCACAATACGTGAAATCGAGGCGATCTATGATCGCGTCGAAATTTAGTATAGTGCCAAACGAAGACAGCACCGCATCGGCAGGGCCTCTAATTTTGCTCCTAATTATAACGACTACCTGGTAGTGGCGTGAACTATTTACGTAGTTCCTGAATATGAAATATGCGGCTACCGCCGCCTGCCGCCAAGAGACATATGACTCTTGTGCTCCCGTAAACTCGGGCAAGCTTTTTACGGCATCCAGGGGCTCATTGCACTGGATGTTGCCCGTAATATCAATGGGTTCATAGACCTTGATTTTGGGGGCTGCCGTCTGCGCGGGTGCCGCTTGCACCGCTGCAACTTTGACGGCTAATTCTTGATTGGTTTTGCGTAACTCAGTTTCTCTGGCTATGGCTTGGCCGGCCGCCTCTGTCATGGCTTGGCTAACGGCGGCCTGGATAACACCCCTAAGCTGGTTCTGGTCCATAATCTCTATTTGGGGGGTATTAGGGGGTTCTTGAGTGTGGTTGGAAGTGCGCGGGGGCTCTTGAGTGGGGGTGGAAGTGCGCGGGGGCTCTTCTCTGTCGGATTCTGAGTCACTACCGAACCCCTTATTCTGCCTGTATTGTGCGAACGGAGAGGTCATGTGTAATGGAACTAAATAGCACTAGTGAGAACTGCTTGCTCAATCTGTTTTGGAGGCAGTTGGCATGGCAAGGGGTACGCGGGGACGGAGCCGCCGCTTATAAACGATGTATGTGCGCTCGTTGAATCGAGCTGTCGCCTTGCCAAGTACTGGCAAGGTGAGGGGTACGCGGGGCTTGAGCCTCCGCTATGGTAAACAAAGAAAAAATAAATAACAACGATTGCCACACAAATGCATGTGCGACCGTATCGGGTTCGCAGCAGTAGAGGATACAAAGAATAAAAAATGAAATTGGACTGCGAAGCTAATACTGAGAATTTTTATTCGAGCGAAGCGCCATATAGAAACCAAATAAAATATCTGCACACAGAAAAAAAGGTTTTCCTTTATATATTTAAATAATAAATGCCCAATAAAAATCCGAATTTGGTATGCTCAATTATGAGAGTCTTGGCTCTGATATTTATCCTCCACAATACGCTAATTTCTACACCAAAAGTATTTGAAGGGTAACAGCACACCGCTGCATGGAATTTATGTTGCGTACACAGTGCGAAAAAATGTTAATGAAAGAAATAAACACTAAACACAAAAAAAGTGGTAGCTTGTAATATCGAGATTCTTTTTTTTTTTTTTTTTAAACACTTTAGACTTGTTTATTTGTGCCCTGGTCCGAACAATGGAGTATTTTTGAGTATGGAGTATTTTTGTCGAAGACTTAAAAATTTTGGCCAAAAGGCCCACTTACATGGTCTGTAATGGTGTGTTTATCTCCCTGAAAGTTGCGCTTTGCGCCGCTGTCACCTTCCAACTTCTGCTAGTTGGGCGCCAATTAATTAATATTATTTCTCAACTGTGTATTGCCGGCGGCAATAGAGATTCCTCAGACGGTCCCTCGCAGTTGCAGATATAGATCGGGAGCGGGTGATAATATTCGCCGCTCTGTTGCAGGCCGGTTGGCCTAAGGCTTCTCCAAGGTAATTTACAGCAGATGATCCACAGGGCGCAGGGGACGTGTCCGCTGCAATGGTCACTAGCCGGTTGGCTGATGAATCTCCCAAACAAGTTATGAAGATTACGGTGGAAGGGGGACTACCCTTCTTTAACTACTGGCCTAGGGACTCAGAAAGTTTTCAAATGATAAATCTTTCACGACGGTAGTCGGAGTATGATAAATCGAGCAGCAGCTCTTTATTGTATGAATATAAAATCAGAACTGAATATATGAAAAGAACTTAAAGTTAACAAAGGCTCACAGCGGCCACGCAAATATGCAGTGTCTGCCGTCTGTGCACGAGCATCCGGCCCATTGCTGGGTCAGGAGTCTGGCCGGAGCTTCATTATGATGTTGACTGTGGTCAACGACTCTTGTCTGGCTGACCATAGTTAACTTATATATCCTTTTTCCATTCTGAGCAGGCTATAGTGCTGCCTTTTAATTGGGCGTCATACTGTTATGTCCCTGGAAGGACCTACGAGGTTTTTTGAGCTGGCTCCGGCTAGCTCTAATATCGAACCGTGGACTCCCTAACCCTTGCCCGCCACACACATAACAAGAAACATCGAGAATCTAAGTTTCACAACATTTTAACCTGCGCGGCTTACATTGAAACTCACAAAACTAATTCACTCGACTATCAAACATATACCTTGACACGAATACTCCTCCTGGTGGACTGGAGGTCACCTGGTCATCCCTAAACTATAGTGCAGTTGCTCACAGGAAATTATTTTGTAGCTGCCTCTATCAAACACACACTTAAATATTCACCCACTCATTTCCCCGGTTACCTTTCTTAATCACAAATTAACAAAACTACTCCATATTTATATTCATATTTTTCAAAATTGTATCTTATATTTATAATAATCAAAATTTTTTCTATCTCCAGGAACTTTTTTCCGCCTATTAATTTTAAGTGGATTTTGTAACATATCACGTTGCTGTGGTGATAGAGAGAGCGGATGGTGGTTTCAACTAAGGCAGAGTACGCGCTTGCATCTTCAAGTAAATAATATTTATTCTACAAATAACAAGAAAGGAAGCTAACTTCGGCACGCCGAAGTTTGTATACCCTTGCAGATATTATTTCATTACATTTTACCTATACTTATTATGTTTACAGTTTGACAGTTACAGTTTTGCATTTCCAGCTTTACATTTTCCCTACATCTACCGATCGTGTATATGGCAGCTATATGATATAGTTGTCCGATTTTTTTGAAATTTATATAAAATTCTTATAAAAAAATTTATATAAAATTCTAGAATAATAAAATAAGCTTATATCCCGGAGTAGATGAAAATACGTTGAAAAACAACGAATCTATAATTTTTTTTCTATTAATTTCCCGATCGTATCTATGGCAGCTATATGATATAGTCGTCCGATTTTCATAAAATTTTTACCAAAATTCCGAAATAATATAAAATGGCAATATCTAAAAAATGGTGCAAAAAAAAAACCGCAAAGTTATAATTATTTTTCTAAAAATATATCGAACATTTGTATGGCAGCTATATGATATAGTCGTCCAATCCGGCCCGTTCCGACATATATAGCAGTGAGAGCATATAGAAGACTATATGCAAAGTTTCATTGAGATAGCTTTAAAACTGAGGGACTAGTTTGCGTAGAAACGGACAGACGGACAGACGGACATGGCTAGATCGACTCGGCTGTTGATGCTGATCAAGAATATAAATACTTTATAGGGTCGGAAACGTCTCCTTCACTGCGTTGCAAACTTCTGACTGAAATTATAATACCCTGCAAGGGTATAAAAATAATCAAAAATTGATGCAGCTTCATTTCCATAAATTTGTGCTGTTTTATATGGCATAAGATATTAACAATATAGTTTTAACAAATATAGCTTTAACCTATTCATTTTTCAAAAAGGTAGTTATACTATACAATATAAAGATATTTGAAGTGTTATACTAGAGTTAATGATATTGGCGTACGAAAATACTTGGTAGGCAGTGTAATGTAAAATTCAAAAATAATTAACGGATCGCAATGTCTGCATTACCGAGCTTCTTATTCTTATTCACTCGAACTTTAAAGCTTGGCATTACGAAAAGCTTTCGTTTTTGATCTTACACCAAAAGAAAATCTTGCATTTGAACAACCAATTAACTCACATGTCTGCAATTCCCACGTTAAAACATCTGTCGCCAAGAGCTGCAAGAAGCGTTTATGTTTGCTGAAAAGAAATCTAAACGTCGGTAACGAAAACACTAAAGCTTTTACCCGGCTTGATTGCGGTTTTCGGGTTTTGTTTTGATCATGATCATTCGCACTGTCGCCATATTTTTCACTCGGTACACTTCGAACAATTATTTTTCCTTAATTTTCAAAATAAATTAAAATTAGATGTATATATATTAGATAGTTTCTTTGCAGGTAATCTGCAGACTTCAAATCAAGATTTCAGTAAATAAACTCCATTTATGATTTAATTTTTTTTACTGGGCTAATTTTCAGCACTTAAAAAAATTATAGTTCAGATTCCCATAGGAAATTTTATAGTAAAAATAGCAAACTAGATTGCTGGCGTTAGATTTCCGTTTTCGGCCATTCTATATTATTTTCTTAACTTCACTCAATTTCCTCTTTCTCATCTTTCTTGTCACCTTATTAAATAGGAAATTTCTCCGACGTCACTAGGAATTTTCACCACAACGAAAGTTCACCGCGCTTAGGGCATGTGCATTTAGTTTCTCGCGTTTGTATGGCCGAGTACTCGGTAGTATTTTTTTTTCCGTGTACACGCACATTTCTCGCACAAAAAAAAAACTCTGGGGCTAAGGGTTATTTCCAACCAAAAGAAAAATCTCTGCTGCGGCTGATGATGATGATGACGAGAACGAAGATGAAGGGGGCGAAGACGATGATGCTCCTTGCAGGTGGCGAAACGATTCCCACGGCTAAGGGTGTCGCCGTCAATTCGTCGCTTTTTAGGTTAAGCACGATCTAGCACTAGGTCAGCCCTAGGTAACCAATTGGTTCAAGTTTGGACAACCCACGCTGCCATGTGTGGGCAATTAATTCCCAATTTGCTGCTCATTTTGCTGCCGATTTGATGCCAATTCTACAAATAATGTTTTTTCAATATTACAATCACTGGAACTGTGTGCGAGAGGCCACTTCTATTTACCTGTGATTGGCAACAATAATATGTGCACTTTTTTATGCTCGAGTGACGAGCCTTCGACGCTGCTGCCTAATTGAAAAGTTTGGCGAAGAGAAAAAGGTGGTTTGCACGCCGTATTGGCTTTATATACCCTCCGGTAGAAATTTTTTCTTTTCCGCTCCTTTTTGTCCTCGTTTAGACAGCGATAAAGCTATAGCTAAATGCAGCTATGCCTAATTTTTACCTATTTAAAGCTATAGCTAAATGCAGCTATGCACAATTATTAACTATTTAAAGCTATTATAGATAAAAGCAAATATGCATATAATCGATAGCTTTGTTACGACCTGAGTTTTACCGATGGGGCAAGGCCGGCTAGTCAGTCTCCTCTCAGGGGGGATTTCTCCCCATTCGCCCGCAGGTCGCACCATAAATTCCAGCTGATCTGGAATCCGCAAAATAATAAAAAAAAACAACAAGGGCCGACAAGAAAGGTAAACAAACTGCATTACTCTACAACAATTACTGCCGGCTTACTTCATCTCTCTCTTCTCCTCTCTCGGAGTGTAGGCTTGGGCTTGGCTGGAATCGCCCTGGACGCCCCTTCCTTCCAGAGATCCGGACTCTCATCTTCTGCGGATCTCCCCTTGGCAGGCGGATTTCGCCGGCCTACTCCTGACTACGGTCTAGTCATCCTTTTCCTCGGTGCGCATCCCAGACGATATTTGTTTCGCCTGCGGCTATCGATTACCGCCCGAATGCAACACCACGCGAAAATTTGCCAATCGTGCGTGTCGTCTTCCCTTTTCAGCCGCAAGTCTTTTGCATGGTAGATGCCAATAGGCTTCCCCGCCCGGTTCTCCAGCTCGAACATATTGTTCCCTACGGGCTTCACGACTCGGCACCTGACGAATTTCCGGGCGAACTTGGCGTTGTAATTCTTCCCGAAATCGCTCAGGGTGAAATTCCGTCGGAAAACTTCCTGGCCTGGATTCACGTTGAACTCCCGTGCGCGCTTGTTGTACTGCCGGCTGCTCCGCTCGTACGCCTGATGCAGATGTTGCTTGATCCGGTCGCGTATAATGTTGCGCTTGTCCTGGCAGCTTAAGGTGGCCACTTCGTGGTCCGTCATCGACTGCAGCTTCCTGGCCAACTTGTAGCAGCTGCCGTACATGTGCTGCCCGAATACTGCGAAGAAAGGAGTCACGTCGCCTCGTCCACTGCATTCCGGATCGCGACCACGATCTCCGGCAGAAATGCGTCCCAGTCCCGATGGTCTTCCTTGAGATATGTCCGAATCGCGGCCAGCACCGTCCGGTTGACCCTCTCTGCAGCGTTACTCTGTGGGGAATACACCGCCGTCCGCATATGTTGTAACCCATATGCCTCCATCATGTCCTGGAACGCCTTCGAAACGAACTGCTTCCCATTGTCGGAGTGTATCACTTCCGGTACACCAAACTTGAAAAATACTTCGTGCACCAGGAACTCGACGACGCTGGTGGCTGTGGCTTCCTACATTGCCTTTAGGAAGGTGAACTTTGAGAAATGATCCACGACCACAAATATCCAGGCTTTCCCTTGTTTCGACCGTGGATATTTGCCCAGGAAATCTATGTATAATTTCTGGAATGGGCTTTCCGTCACCACTTCCTGCCCTATCCCGACCTGCGTGCGATAATTCGGGGCCTTCGCCTCCTTGCACTGAATGCATTGTCCCACGAAGTCTCGGACTTGCGCCGTCATCCCTGGCCAGTAATACTGCCGTTGGAGTTTTTGTAGGGTCTTTTTTACTCCTCCGTGTCCTGACGTCGGTTCCTCGTGAGCCGTCGCGATCATCCCGGCTGTCAGCGATGCCGGAATCCATAGTTTCCACGGCCCACCCTCGACTACATCTTCCAATCACCAAAATCCAAGGCGTTTAAAGATGAGGTCGCGAGCCTGGTTATCCCGTATCTCATCTCGTATCTCTTTATATTCGCCAGATTGGAACTCCGTCGTGGCAAATCCCAGGCGGCGTCCAGCTTCAGCTCCTCCACGCATCTGGACAGCGTATCGGCGACCACGTTGTCGGCTCCCTTCCGGTGCGAAATTTCGAAGTCGAAGCCTTGCAGCCTGAGGGACCATCGTGCCAGGCGTCCGCTAAGGTCGTTCATGGTCATCAACCACTTCAGACTCGCATGGTCGGTGATTACCGTGAACGGCATCAGTTCCACATATGGCGGGAATCTCTCTATGGCAAGTACTGCTGCCAAGCACTCCTTCTCTGTCACCGAATAATTTATCTGGTGTTTGTTCAGCTTTGCAGAGAAGAAGGCTATCGGACGCTCGTTCTTGTCCTCGTCATATTGGAACAGGACTGCTCCCACCCCAAGATGCGACGCGTCGCACTGGACATAAAACGGTCGTTTAAAATCAGCGTGGACCAGAACCGGGGCCGAGGTGAGTGCGTTCTTCAGCGCCTGTATCGCGCTCTTGGCCTCTTCGCCCAGCACTAACCGCGTGGTTCTTCCTTTCTTTAGGACGTCCGTGAGCGGTGTCGCCATGGCTGCGAAATCCTTGATGAACCGCCGGTACCACCCCGCTGTGCCCAAAAAGCTCCGCAGTTCTTTTACCGATTTCGGCTCGGGAATCTTTTGTATCGCGACGATTCTTTCCGGATCCATTCGGAGTGTCCCTCCGCCGATGATGAACCCCAGGTACTTCAGTGTCTTGAAGCAAAACTTTGACTTTTTTAACCCTATCGTCAAATTTGCATTCCTCAGACATTCCGCCACCAAACTGAGGTACTTCATGTGCGTGTCGAAGTCCGGGGTGATGATCAGCAGATCGTCTAGGTAGACGAACACGTTTGACCTCAGCTGCGCGGGAATCACCTGATCCATGAGCCGGCAAAGCCGCTGCGCCGTGTTGCACAGTCCGAACGGCATCATCGCGAACTGGTACAGTGGCCTTCCCGCTACCGTAAATGCCGTGTACGGGCGGCTCTCTGGGTCCAGCTCCACCTGCCAGAAGGCGAATTTCAGGTCGACACTCGAGATGAAGTGAGTCTGCTCTATTCTGGATAGGATTCCCTCGATGCTGGGCAGCGGGTACGCGTCCTTCACGGTCAACTGGTTCAGCTTCCGCGCGTCCAGACAGAACCGGTCCGGCTTTCGCACCACCGTCGTGCGGTTACTCCACGGACTTTCGCTGACCTCGATCACACCTAGTTCCAACATCTTATCGACCTCAGCCCATACAATCTCCTGCATCGCTGGCGACAGAGGGTAATGCCGGTCCTTGAAGGGTTCTGCGCCTTCTATGAGTTGGATTCGGTGCTTCTCCACCGATGTCCTCCCCAATCCTACGTCCTCAAACGCTAGAAACTCCTTCTTCACCGCCTCTAACCGATTCTTTTCTTCCTGTTGCAGGTCCCATTCCTCTATCACCGACTCCTTGATGGCTTTCCCGTCGAGCCACGGATTCATTGCGTCCCAGAGCTCCGAAACGTTTGCCTCTGGATTTTGTGCTGGCATCTCTCCGAGAATGGCCGGTGCCAATGCGAATCGCCTCCAAAAATCGATCCCGAGGTACATGGCCTGCTCCAAATACGGGTACACGTAGAAGGTGAGCACCTTCTCCACTCCCTTAAACTGTACCGGCACATGTACTCTTCCAATAATCGACCTATCTTCTCCCGCAGCGGTCTTCACTATGTACACGTTCTTCTCCATCCTCACGCCAATCTCCTCCAGCAACTCCCGGCTGCCTCTCCCGAGGACGTTGACGGACGCGCCTGTGTCCAGCAAACCGGTCACTCGCTTGCCCTGGATGAGGACCTCTGCAAAGACTCGCGGGTCCCTGCGCTCGCCCTCGCGTTTCCCGCGCATACCGGGCAGTTCGGGGTGACTACCTCCGGTTTCCCGCATCGGTAGCAGAAAATCTTCCGCTCTGGCGACGGGCAATCGCGGAAACCGTGGTCGGTCTGGCCGCAGTTCCAGCAGGTCAATCTCGGCCTGGCAAACTCCTCGACGATCGGATCCTCAATTCCCGCCTCAACCTCGGGTCCGTCAACCGCCACCTCTTCAACCTGGCGTCCGCTTGGCTGGAACTTGGACGGCCCGCAATAGGTGGGTCTGACCTCCCGCTTCATGAAGGCCTCTTCCACCTCCAGGCATTCCTCACGCAGATGCTCCACGCTGTATACCCTCAGGGCTTACACAAATCTCGCAATCTCTGCGGTAAGTCCCTTTTTGACGATTCGGATCATCTCTGACTCCGGTATGGGTGCCATCAGTCGGTTACCCAGCCGCCGCATCGCACGGAAGTACTCTTCCACCGATTCGCCCTGCTGTTGCCGTCGGTCCTGTAGCGCCCGCCGCCGCTCGAACTCGCCGCCTATGCCACGGAATCTGGCCACCAGGTTCTCCTTAAGGTCGTCCCAGGTCTGCGGCGGATTCTCCTTGACGTGCATGACACTGGCGCATTAATTAGAGACTTTATTAAAGATTTGACAGAGCTATAGCGTTTTACACAAGTGCGAGCAAGACGACTATATGGCGCTCTAATGCATTAGCTACTTCATTGCCGCGATAATCGATAGATCTACATCCAAATACTAGATACTCAATAACAAAATACGGGTTTAATGAAGAAAATGGTAATTGAAAAATGTATTAGCCAGCTCATTGACAGTATGGTCTCACAATGAGAATTTTATTTTTATATAATTTCGCTGGTTTTTTGAACTGAAAAAATATTGGAAATTTGGAAAAATACTATGTTTTGCGGTGGCAAGGTTCCTGCGGTGTAAAATTAATTAAAATTTTTTTTTGGTAATAATTAAAAAACATAAATTTAAAGGATTCTGCATTTATTTATGCAAGAATACTTCGACGAGGAATTCAGAAATTCATAGTAATACGCCGCGAATGGCGGCCGTTTTTTTTGTTTACCTTTTACGGTCGGTGTGACCGTAGTACGACTACGGTCACCAAATACCAAAATAATCCCAGCAAAATCCAAGCCAAATTACACAAAATTACACATATAGTGGTCTCTTTCAAGGTTCTAATGAAGTAGCTAATTAATGAAAACTGCATTAGTGTATCATATGGGCATAATCAATTATTCACTGGTTGTGGCCAGAAAAATTAATTTTATTTATTATGAACACATTTTTGGCTTATTGTTTTATGAATGATTATGTAAATAAATTTAAGTTTTGGTTTTTCTCTGAATTTATTTGAAGTAAAAAATAAAAAAGTTTTGTTTTCGATTTAATCGATTTAATTGATTCTAATTTCTAAAAAATCGATTCGCTGAGAATCGATTTTTACCCAGCTCTACTAAACAGTATATTCGCTTTACAAAGAATCCGCAAAAATTGTAATATTTGCGCTTGTCGCTGAAGCGGCCCAAAAGCATACTTTACATTTTCAATAACTCTAAGGGAATTGCCCAAGCTAATTATCTATCAAGCTGTTGCATTCGGGCGGTAATCGATAGCCGCAGGCGAAACAAATATCGTCTGGGATGCGCTCCGAGGAAAAGGATGACTAGACCGTAGTCAGGAGTAGGCCGGCGAAGTCCGCCTACCAAGGGGAGATCCGCAGAAGATGAGAGTCCGGATCTCTGGAAGGGAGGGGCGTCCAGGGCGATTCCAGCCAAGCCCAAGCCTACACTCCGAGAGAGGAGAAGAGAGAGATGAAGTAAGCCGGCAGTAATTGTTGTAGAGTAATGCAGTTTGTTTACCTTTCTTGTCGGCCCTTGTTGTTTTTTTTTTATTATTTTGCGGATTCCAGATCAGCTGGAATTTATGGTGTGACCTGCGGGCGAATGGGGAGAAATCCCCCCTGAGAGGAGACTGGCTAGCCGGCCTTCCCCCATCGGTCATATCATCAGGTCGTAACATAATGGCGCCCAAACCATCAAAAGGTAGCGAGGTGGCGAGAAGGACAATCGCACTCACAATGCTGTTGATGAGAGAAAAAAAAAATATCTTCCAGCCGAGGGCTGAAATCCAGGTGGTCCAGGCGCATTAATTAGAGACTTCATTAAAGAGTTGACAGCGCTATAGCATTTTACACAAGTGCGAGCAAGCCGACTATATGGCGATCTAATGCATTAGAATAATGCAATAGCTACTTCATTGCCGCGATAATCGATAGATCTACATAAAATATACTAGATACTCGATAACAAAATACGGGTTTAATGAAGAAAATTGTAATTGAAAAAATAATATGTTTTGCGGTGGCAAAATATTTAAATATTTAAAATATTTTTTTTGGTGATAATTAAAAAAATTGAAGGTATTATAGGTTAAAAACATAAACTTAAATGATTCTGCATTTATTTATGGAAGAATACTTCGATGAGAAATTCAGAAATTGATAGCAATACGCCGCGAATGGCTGCGGTTTTTTTTGGTTACCGTTCACGGTTGGTGTGACCGTAGTCGTGTTACCAAAATAATTCAAGCAAAATTACACATATAGTGGTCTCTTTCAAGGTTCTAATGAAGTAGCTAATTATTGAAAACTGCATTAAAATGTCATACGGCCATTACGAAATCTAAAAACATTTATTTAAAGATACTTAAGGGGGTCTTCTCATTCAAAAGCCGTTTTTTGGACCCTTTTTAAAAAAATTCTTATTTGAAAACTCAAAGAATAATTGAAAACTTTTTTTATTTATTGTATTCAAAAATGTTCAAAGTAACTAAAAAAGTTGTTCTTGCCTCGATACGAGGGTTGTTCAAAGAGTAATGAGACTTCAAACTTGGTGGTCGAAAAAAAGGTGTCGTCCTGGCGGCCACGATTCAGGGTCTCCAGAGCGTCCGAAATGAAAAAGAAAAACGGGGTTATAATCAGAATAGATGTCATTTTCGGCTGACGGAACAGATTTTTTTTTTTAATTTTTAAAACAAAATGGCGGCCATTCAAAAAAAAAAAATTCGATTTCGGGCGTTTTTTTTGTAGTTTAGTGTAAAATAAAAAAAAAAAAAAAAATTTTTTTAAATCTGTTCCGTCAGCCGAAAATGGTGACAATTCTGCGTCGATTCCACTTTGTTTCATGAAAATCGGTTCAGTTGAACTGGAGATATCATGGCCGCCAGTTCGAAAAACGTGGTTTCGAGATAAACGCGTTTGAAGTTTGAAAAAAGCTCATTTTGCATAGATCTTGCTTCACAAAAAGGCTGTATCTCCTAAAGTATTTCGAATTTCTAAAAATCCTTTTGGGGACATATACACACCATCCCAAGCTATAAATAAATGCAAAAAAAATCGAAAAAAAGGTTGCCCAATGAGAAGACCCCCTTAATCATTAAAAATTAAAATTTTAACTCAATTTCCCTTATGTTCGCTTCCTCTTCTTCCTCATAGTGGTGCAATTTATATTGTACATGGACATGGACGCGGACGAATTTGCAAAGGAAGGCGTCGGACTGGAGAGTGAAAGAGCAGAAAGCGTTCCTGTCTCCCTAAGAACGCTTCAAAGCGAGCTAGAGAGAGAGCTAGTAATAATGAACTTAGCCTAGTAACAATAATAAGAAAGTGAGGGTGACTCCGAGCTCTCTCTCGGCACGCAGTTGGCGATGATGATGATACGGCTCGCAGTGGGCGATGAGGATGAAATGGTGCGCCCCAGATTTGGGGCGTTACATCCCCTCCCTACTTCGGGGAACAAAAGAGACTGTTCCCCGTCCGCTGGGCCGGAGGGTGATCTGGTACGACCCATCCTCAGTCCTTACTCGTAGTCGTTGGCGGGCGTACTGGGCGGCGGCGAGTCTGGCGGAGATGGTCCGCCACACCACGGCAGGCACACGGTGGTCTGGTAAGTTGTGCTCCCATCCGTCCGGAAGCGGATATCGCTCGCTTTCCGGCGGGTCCTGGCTGGCGTGCACGGGACTCCTCTCTCGTCCGTCAGTGGCGTCCTGTGGCGGGCTGACGAGGCCGTCGGGGTTCCAGCGTTCTGGAGCAGCCCAAATCAATTCTTCGACCCCAGCTGGGATCTGGTCCAACAGTTGCCCGATGGTCCCGGGTGACATGCCTAGGGCGGCACTGAGGGGGCTGGACCTCGGGGTCATCGCAGGGGGGTGTGGTGGCTGCGGTGGGTTCGAGGACGGCGCTCGGGGTGGCATCCTCGGGCGATCGGTTGGCCACGGCTGCGGGTGGTGCACGGACGGCGCGCGAGGTGGTAGCCTCTGGCGATCGGGTGAGCATGGCTGCGGGTGGTGCATGTAGGGGCAACGGCTGGCAGGGGACCGGAGTCAGGACCGGATCCCGGCGGCGGAATCGCTGGCCCGTGTCCTCTTCGTCGTCGCTAGGCTCCGACTCCCATTCCATCGCCTTGCCCGTGGGGTGGTGTGGACGATTGGGGGGGTCCACGGCGCTGGGCTTAGCGTCCCGCATTACGATGTCCTGCGGTAGGGCGTCGTCTCGCATCGATGTCGCAGGCTTCGAAGTCGTCGGGCCCGGGTTCCCTGGTATTTCGCCGTCGTTGCCTGAGTTGGCGAACGAGGGTACGGCCCTGTCGTCGACGCCAAGTATGCAGAGATGTTCCGGGGACTCTGGGAAGGTTACATACGGGCTCTCTGAAGGCCGCCACGGGACTTCGACCTGCATGGTCTCGTACGTGGTATGGATCAAGTACGCCCACGACCCTCGCTGGTACCAAAACCTGTCTTCTCCGGTGTGTAGAATGTGCTGCGCTCCCTCGGGTGGGACGCTGTCATCTTCCTCGTCTTCCTGCTGGTCATCCGAGCTCTCGGAGTATGTAGGC